CTATCGAACGGTATGGTCCGCGGCATATTAGATAAGTACCAGGGTACATTCGGTTTCCAGCTGATACCAGGGATACGTTCGTACAGTACACTGGGAGGATAGACCTCTCAGGCAGTACTAGGAGTACTAGTATTAGAGTAGAGCTAGCCTCTAGAATATAGCCCTCGCTCCGCCACAGGTTTTTTGTAGATACTTGAGAATTTGTACGGCGAGAATGTTGCTTTATTTGGTCCGTACCAAAGAAGTATTAACCCCAAAAAGTTGTCTTTGCTTTACTACCTGAAAAAATTGCCTAGTATCGTTCTATGTATAGCACCCTGCGGGCGGAGCGGAGGGGATTATAATTCTAGCTAAGTAGAGCTAAATACCAACAGGCTCTCCGACTGTTCACGGCGTAGGAACCTCTCGCCTCTCGCCAACGTTTAGTCCAGTAACCAGTGTTAGCGAGAAGGGAACTGTGTGTTAGACAGTAGAGCGTAGACTCGAGTCACGGCAATAACCGGGCATCAACATGAAAGTCTTTCAATGCAGATAAAATTAAAACTGTGTGAAAACTCAACACTACAACACAACGAGTTACATAGTCGTAGCATATTAAACATTTTGATACATAACCACACTTCAGCTAAGATGTACGGTAGCCCGACCAGGCTGTGCGACGGGATCTCGTCTAGTACCGGTCTTACTAAACCTAGCAGCACGTTCTTGGAGCGTAGATATACGGGGTGTTGTTGCACTTCTCGTCAAATCGCTTCCACAGTCTGTGTATCACAGAACTTTCCATCGGCCGTCCGCCCATGGTTGGCGGTGAAGACCATGAGATACGTAACCCAAGTTAGTATCTTGGGTTAGTATCTATGGGCTGAACTGAGGGAACTCTCGCCATTATCTTTTTTGCCAGCCTCATTATCTGCGAGAATTCACCGTGTTTACACTTCGGGGTCTTTTACCCAGATCTGGGGGTTTTTCACTTGCAATCTGGGGTTTTTTCTAGAAACATTGGAGTGCAATTTGTCTGCAGAGTATATTTGTTCCGCGCTCCTGCCCAGCTCGGCGAGTCATACGGAACCGAAACAGACGTGGTATTGGTGTTTTTTTTTTTTTTTTTTTTTATTTTTTCTTTTTTTCTTCTACGAACGATGGTCATCACTAACATAATGCTGAATAACATCATTTTAGCGCTTAAATGCGACCTAAAAAATTGCTTTAAATGCGACGCTAACTAATTGCTGATTTGCTAACTAGGCGCTGATTCAAGCAGGAAACACTGCTGATTGATGCAAAACAACTGCTGATGATGCAAAAACACAACTGCTGAATATGATACACGAACAATCATGTTCAACATGCCATTATCATCGCAGAAAACGCCATCACGCTAAAAAATGTCGGCATTTCAGAAAGGTATGTCTCCCTCTCGCTGATATCCGCGACTAACAAACTGTTCATTCAGCATTAATTGTCTCCTTTTTGCTGATATTCAGCGCTAGACAAAAGTCCAGTTTCAGCATAAATCGGCTGCCTTTTGCTGATATCCAGCGCTAAGAAGGGCCCTATATCAGCAGTTATATGCAATTGCATAGACATTGTTGCACACAGGCACGCGGCCAAACACAAGCCAGCCAATCACAGAGCAGCTTACTAAAATCAATGTTGAACTTTTGACAGCTCTGCTTTTGAATGCTACATTGCTAGGCCATTACTGCATTAGTGAAATTATCAGGACAGTTGTCAAGAGCTAATTATGAAGGTATTACGTTCAATTCTTCATTATGGAAGAGAGCCGCCCCCTGTACCATGCAAACTGTCTCGTATTTACAGTTAGTTATGCCTAGAACTTAGAAGTTATTTCCGTGTTAGTGCAGCTGAAGGGGTCGTTGTTGTATCAGGTATCAGGTACAGGGTCCGGCGCCGGGTTCTCACGTCGCGCGCCATAGCAGGTGTCCGCTTACATTGACGAAAGTTTTTTTGTGGCTATGGTACAGACTCGGCCGATACGGTCACTCTGGCGGCCCATATATAAGTATAATCATGTTATATAGAATCATTATTATTTAATGCAAATAAATACTATATAGCAATAACGTTATGTGTTGGTGTGTTTATAATTTAGATTCTATTATATTACTATAACTATTGTACGACGGGTTTTGGTTTACGATTGTACGATGGGAAGATGGCTGCGCCCTGTACTTGTAGATATAATATTAATAATGTCATAATAATGGGATGT